TTGCCGGGTATTTAAATACATGGTTGATTTGACTCTTTCACCTCTTACAACATACACAGGCCAGAGAATCTGATTATGTAATCTTTTAACCCTAATAAAATGTATTTAATGTTGTTGCAACTCGCATACAAATTCGAAAAATATTTTCAAATTGTCAAACCGGTGGAATTACTTTTCTATCTTCATTAAAATTGGAGAGTACACTTTCTTTCAACAAAACTTAGAAACCCTTCATTATAAAGACTGTCAATTGCTCATTTCATGTTCACATATTGTAGGCTTAAAAGAACAAGAGTTCCAAGCTAACAAGCTAGAAGTTTCAACATGTTCGAAAGCCATGGGATAAGGTCTCCTTCTAATAAGAACTATAATGGCTTATCCAGATTTAAGAGTTTTATTAAATCTATGCGAAAATAACAGCTCGGACACATCCATTTTGTCAACAGGATTGTTACCCCCATCGTACCTAGTCCAGTCTTACTGATATGGAATAAGGAATAAATCAGAACAAAAATCAAACACATCGTTAAAAGAACCAATTGATGCAGTTACTATTCACAAAGTACAAGGTCTCAGTCTTGATGCTTGATAGAATATTTCAAGCTGGTCAAGCATATCTTGCGTTAAGCAGAGTTAAAACATTACAGGGTCTTGCAATACAAGGTTTTGCGAAAAAAACATATATTGTGATGAAAAAATTGAATCAGCGTTAAGAGCAATGAACAGATTTTTGCAACCCGAGAAGGAAACCCCACCAACATATACTAATATAAGTCTACATTATGTTCAACAGAAGCACAGAAACGAAACTGAAATTAAATGGTTTTATGTTTTCACCATCAACATTAAAGCACCAGATATGATAACACTTAAGATTTTGAATTTTAATAAGTAAGGGGCCACGGAGGAGTAGAAGTATATTACAAGGAAAGCCAAAATTGTAATATTATGAAATTGGGAGTTTGATATACAGAACGCATTTCTTTGAATATTCCAAATAAGAATATTAACGTAATTGTTATCTACAGACCGCCTATTTATCGATTTGATTTATTTCTCCCAATGTTACAAAGATATTAAGTAACCATACGATAATGTTACATTAGATAAATATACTCTTAATATTTAATAAAACTGTTTAGTTTCCTCGCACGTAAAGCGACTGTGGGAACGCTGGAGCAGGCCCTTAAAGTACAAAAAGTCTTAAAGCTATGGGGCGAGGTATTATATACTTGGGTTATTTACCGGATACCTTAAGAGTTTTTATCCCTTGTTTAAAAATTGTAGGCTTAAAAGCTAACAGACTAAAAGTGTCAAAAGGCTTAAAAGTCACACAAGGAGCTGTTCACAGTTTTTTCTTAAATCCGTACAGTAGTTTTCTTACAGTTTCCAAAAAGCATAACAAACTAATCCTACGTAATGTTTTTAAACAATTTTGGCGTTAAAAAAATAACGGCTGGATTTTTTTTAATTAATGCTTTCAGATACGTTAAAGGGCACATTTCTTTAGATTTTGGTGTGTAGTTTTCACAAATTTGAGCAAAAACAATTTTAACCTTCAAAAAAGCGGAATGTCCCTTTAGAGATCCAAAATACCTTAATCCAGAGGCAATTCTGTCTTGGAAAAAGTGTTTGTGCTGAAATTGTGCCCGCATTCACTATTATGCTATTAATAGTTAATGAAATGACAATGATATGGTTTTTTTTAAAACGCTGCCATTTCAATGTGTTTCATACAATGAAGCTATTTTTTTGTGAAAAGATTAAGAGGTCAAATTTTTATGAGGTGCTTTGATACTTTATGAAATATCCTTACATGAAAAGTCATATTGTTTTTTTTTCTGGGCCACCCGATATATATTTTTTTTAAAAAATATCTTACAAGGATTATAATCTTAAAATCATCTATAAGATAAGGTAAAAACCTGAAACAGTTCATAAAATTATCACCAAATTCAAACATGAACAATGTCTCATCGCTGTAAACACAAGGGCAATAACTCTGAAACTGTTCATCTTATTATAAACAATTCTAACTTATATACATGCATACCAAGTTTCATCAAGATCAAATAAAAACTGTAGTCTCTATTGTGGCTGCAAACCAAATTTGACGCGTTTTTACTAAGTCAAAGGCAATAATTCTGAAACGGTTAATCTGATTATTACCAATTTCCAACTTGACTGAGATCTCATCAATACATACATGCAAACCAAGTTTCATGAAAATAGGAAAGAAACTATAGCCTCTATCGCACCTACAAGGCAAATTTGACGTGTTTTTTCTATGTCAAGGGCAATAACTCCGAAACCATTCATTCGATTACTACGAATTTCGAACTTGACCGAGATCTCATCAATATATACATGCATACCAAGTTTCTTAAAGATCGGATAAAAACTAGCCTCTATCGCGCCTACAAGAACTGTGGACGGACGGACGGACGGACGGACCGACTGGTCATTTCCATGTGTGCGTACAAAAATGTTTATTTTGTCAGGAAAATGTCATTGAAGATGAATGTCATATTGTTATGAATTGTGTCGCTTATAATGATAATCGTCATTTTATGTACAAAATATAACAATATTGTACTTTATTGTATTACTTAAATCCTTTAGATCAATTTTATTATATTATGAAGTATGTTCAGCATGATTTGGCAAAGTTTTTAGATGTTTTACATTAGAACTAAACGCTTTTAATTTAATAAATAAATGGTACTTCTACACCCGAAACCCCAGGTTAATCCGACAGAGCATTGTGTGAAATTTTCCGACAGTTGTGAGGTTTTAATTTTAGCTACTTTGATGTTTGGAAATAAGTGTATGTGCAAAGATACCCGATGTTGTGCCATAAGTTTCTAAATATGTTGCGATAATACAATTTCCTAAAACAACTATTGCATATCACCCGCTCCTTTAACGTATCGCTTTGTATTATCGATTATCACATCCTTGACACATTATAATAAATAAATAATAAATACAATATTTATAGAGCGCGTTATATAAAAACAATTACTCTAAGCGCTTCACATAAAAATAAGTAAAAAATAAAATAAACAGTTTAAAATAATTGCAGTCAATTAAAAGTATATAGAATGAAATAAAATCTACAAGAAATCCTTAAAAGCAGTTCGAAAGAAGTGAGTCTTGAGTTGTTTTTTAAAAACGTCTAAAGAATTCACATTCCGCAATGACAATGGTAAACTGTTCCAGAGTGTAGGCGCGGCCTTGTCAAAACGCCTTTCGCCGTAGCTTTTTGTTCGAACGTCATTTGGAGGATTTAAACGCATACTGTTTTCCGACCTGAGGGATCTATTGGGTTTGTAAGGCGTAATTAGTTCTTGAAGGTAGCTAGGAGCCTTACCATGCATTGCTTTATACACATAAACAAGAAGTTTAAATTGGCAGCGGTAATGAATGGGTAACCAGTGCAACGCGATTAGAACGGGCGTGATTGAATCAAATTTCCTTGTTCGTGTAATCAGACGTGCTGCTGTGTTTTGGACACGCTGAAGCTTACTGATAATGTTAGTGTTAGTACCGTACAGCAATGCGTTGCCATAGTCTAGCCTTGATGTAACTAGGGAGGACACTAGTGTTCTACAGGCTTCAACTGAAATTAAAGATCGAATTCGACCAATGTTCCGAATGTGGTAAAAACAAGCTTTAGAGATCGCACTGGCTTGATGTTCCATAGTGATGGTTTTATCAAAGAATATTCCGAGATTTTTCACACAAGAAGCGTCGCTTAACACAGTTCCGTCAAAGGTCTGACGGAAATTGTCTAGATGCTTCACTTGACGTTTAGGTGCAAAGATAATCAATTCTGTTTTGTCTTCATTAAGTTTTAACATATTGGCACTCATCCAATCACTAATGTCAAATAAACATTTTTCTAGACGTTTGGACAGATCGGACCAGTCTCCTTGCGGTCTTATGATTTGATAAACCTGAGTATCATCTGCGTATGAATGGTATGACATTCTAACTAGATTCTTAACAAAGTTTATACTTTATAAAATTGGGAATCCTAATGATTATTCACATCTCCAAACTAAAATAAAGTTGTTTGTTAAGATCAATTCAGCGAACTAACTTGAATTAGACTTGAGCGATATTAAGACTAATTCTCCAGATTAGTGCTTGAAAAATAAGTTTCATATTCATTTTGTATTACAATCGAATCTTCTATTTCAGTCAAATCACGATAATTGTTGTTTTCTATGAAATTGTGTAACGTATTGTTAATGTACTTCACTGATGTCTAGGGCAAAAAGTACTTTAAGTACCGTCATAAGTATCTTATGTTACAGCATAATAAATGCCTCATGGGGTCCATAAAATAGAATCAGTGTTATAGAAAGAATAATGGACAGATAGTGAAGAGACATCGCACACTTCGAATCGATCAGTCACACAAAATCAAATCAACAGGCACTACACCTTTTGACGACTTGTGCTATCCTAAGACTCTATTCATCTTTTACTAGCAATAATCCAATATTTCAAATTGTCTCATACTAATTGTAACCAAATATTCTTAACTTAATGCCTTAAGTAATGCAGCATTGCAAATATTATATTATTATAAAATATTCTCGTATTCTAATCAACGATTTAAAAGAATCTACCAGGAAGTTTGATGTGGTATAGAATTCCCAACAGCCTTTTCACGCCCACACCATTGTCCGTCTTCGTATCCGTAATTGCTTCCTACAACAAAGTACAACTTTTCTCATGAACATTGGGGAGTCATGTGTTAGTTTGATTACAAGAATAACCGTATTCATCTTGATTTTCAGTGAGGCGGTTCAGTAAAATAAAGCAATATACATTTCATCAGAGCAGTCATCAAGTAAAGGTATAGACCAGCTGGGAGTTTGGAGACTCGGAGTTACTTTGTGTGAAATATTAAGTAGTTTTAACGGCCGAGAGTGTCCTCTATAGAATAGTAACACAGAAGTTAACTTATCTAATCTTACTTATTAGTAATGGATAATTTTACTGAATCTGGAAATGTATCCGAAAATCTCAACGATTCTCTATCAGAATACGAAACAGTTTCTCAGCTGGCTAGCAAGATACAAAGGTACTATTTATGGGTAATATTTGCCGTGGGTGTTCCTGGAAACATAGCTACGTTAATTACCGTTTTAAAGATGAAGCCTCTTACATCATTAACCGCTTACGTAGCCGTTCTCTCCGTAGTTGACCTCTTAGCTATTTTTGTAAAACTTTCACTCCTAGCTTTCCAAGTGAACTCTGTGGATATTCTTAATGGTGGTTGTAAATTTATGATTTTTCTGGGCAATTTGCTAGTGTGCTTTGCCAGTTGGATATTAGTAGCCATGGCAGTGGAAAGGTTTGTGGCTGTGTGGTTCCCGTTTAAAATTGGATCGATGTGGAGCTGTAGAAAGTCGTTGATTTCTATTTGTGTAATGTGCATTGTATTGGTCGGAACATTTAGTCACCTTCTCTTCATAGTCGAGTCAAAAGAGGGACTTTGCCTCATTCAAGAAGATTATTTAAATTTTGTTCAAATTTGGTACTGGATCAATGCTACTTTGTATGCTTTTTTGCCTTGTACCTCAATATTTGTTTTTAATTTAATGATAATTTGCGGTATCAATCAGTCTGTAATGCGCCAGAGGTCGCTTTTTTCGATTCTAAGAGTATCCAATAGCAACCATCGTGAAGTCAGCATTATGTTAATTGTTGTGTCTGTTGTATTTCTAGTTCTAACCACTCCTCGAAGTGTCTTGCTCATCTTACCCATCAGTCATTTACCATTAGCCTACCAAGAACTATTGTCTCAGATCTCATTTGTGTTATGTGATTCAAATCACGCTATTAACTTCTTTTTGTATTTTTTAAGTGTTCGACGATTCCGCGTCAAGGCCATGAAATGGTTAACGTGTAGAGCATATCACGAGAATGATAAAGGTGTTAATTTAGTCATTATGCGGCCATCTTTGAGACATCGTTGGTCGGGAAACACTGACAGTACCACTCGATCTGTGAGCGCTAGTACTTAAATCATAACTTCGTGAAAACCAACCTACTTCTACTAGTGACCTTTTCAGGGAATCTTTCGAGAAGTCACCTTTCAAATGTAAAAAATACTTTTAGTATATATGGCGATTCAATGGATTGTATTCAGGAAAGAGCACCGGCCCCTCGGGAGACAAACAAATGTTTTCCACTTTTTAGAAACACAAATGAGTGGTATGAAATTAATCATAGAAGACGTTTTGTACTTTTCATAATTTAAATTTTGGCTTCTTTTTCATGTGTTTAGACTGACCGATTTACTTCTAATATGTAATGGAGAATGTTGGCCATAAGTCTCTTTAATCACGGTATTATATTACACAATACCTTGTCCTTCCTTGTATGGGTTTGTAATATTCTTGTTGTAACTCATTTTTAAGTATTCGGATCATAATCAATGTACATAAAAATGAAATCCATGACATTTGATCTCTGGATTGATTGACATGGCTATTTTAATTTTCATCCAATCCGCGATTGTAATATCATACAATTACTTCAATACTCTATAAAATTATTATATTTGTATAACACAGACTGTCTGATATAAAATTTGTTGATTTCACTGTTTGAAAGACATAGTAACACCGAATTCCATGCCTTTCTCAAATTTCCCCCGAGATACCGACATGGTTGTATTACATTTAATCGAGTGCATTTGAGCGAAGGTGTACACTATAGATTTTAACGCAACCAATAAAGACAAAGTCAAACAACAAATAATTATTATTGTTACCCTTTCCTCCAAGTTAGTTAGTTGTTCTAGAACTAGATATCTGAAACTAAACTATACTATCGTTTGTGGTGAATACTTTTTCATGATCTAAAGAGAAAAAGTTTCTGTTCCTCGTTATTTAATCCATCAAAATCTTATTTTTACGATATTTAAATTAAAGATTGGGATTGAATGTACGTCGATGATTGACCATTTGTTTGAAAACTGTTGTCAGTCTTCCATCTTAATTCAACAGCAACTATAAGATGAGGTTAAATGTAATGATAACTACAGTGGTCACTGTGACCTTGAAGGGATAATGTTTAAACGAAGTCCAAAATCGTCAAACGATATTCCTTTTGAAATCTCCAATAGTTGTTTCGATCGGTTAGATAGTTTTCTTCTGTAAATCTGTGTGTAAATTGAGCAAGAAGTTAGTTTGTTATAATATACTGTTTGTCTAAATTTTACCATGTCGTTGTCCTAGCATATTAAGTATCCAGGGCGAGCTGTTGGGGAAATTGGACTGCCAGCTAACACGAAACTGGCCCATCACGATCTGGTGAGGCTTCGCTTTTTCAGTAAAGCTCGTGGCATCTGACAAAAAGTGAGGATTGATTTTAATATATTTCCGTCCAGACTATGCTCGTCTTGCTAAGCTGTTGTAGAAAACAAAGCTTCTCAAAATACAGTAGTAGAACGCAATGCTGGTCCTGTAATTCGTCATATTCCAGGACGCACCATACACCTATCTTGACTTGAGAACAAAACGGTGACAAACCACTAAATACCGAGCACGACACATACTTCTAGTACCACTACGGATTTGTTCCGCCCATTTACTGTCACCTTTTGTTGCATTCACCTTTTGGTACTATGGCCCTCCTGTTTTTTCGTCAACATTGTGACTGATGTGGCAAATTTGGCCGGCATCAATACTGTGTATTGTAAGAGTCAATTCTATTAAATTTGTTTTCGTAGTTTGAATGTCAAACCTTGTACTCAATACAAACAGTACACCGGATGAAAATGACTTATTACAGCATTGCGACAAGATAAATACATACATCAAGTATTGCACAGTATAATTAAAATCTATTATATCATGATAATAAGTATGTCTATTAAAAAATGATGTTCAAAAGAATATCGTATATTCAACGCTGTCTACCTCATTTCCTATCATATTAAAAGATTAAAGAGCATCTTAGGTCTAATTAAGTACACAGTTGTTCAAGTTGAGGTTACATGTGGCCTTATTCGCCTGATATACATAAATTATACTTAAGGAATTGTACGACGAAGGGAACCGCATGCCTTTTACTATATTGTTGTACCGTTTTGGGCACAGGCAAGTTGTGAAATATTCTGATAATGTCTGTATGAAATCTTAAATTGTTCAGATTATAACATATACCAAATGTCTAGGCATATTTGTCTTTTGTCATGGTGAAAATTCTCAAAAACTACCAATCCATAACAGATCGGGATCATCGCCCATATAAAACGACATGTGATCTCCGGCTCTACCTATTGACGATATCACCCCTGAGGAACTGGGTAAGGCCAGAGTTTTCGGGCTAGTAAACAGTGAAGATGAACATGTAGATATGGTGAGTAACTTAAAGTATAATTCAGGCACCGTCGCGACCACCTTGAATATATCATAATACCGAATATATCGTACATAATAAATGTAAATTCAAAGAGAGTGTAATCATTTGCATCATTTTCCCATTATTCAGATTGGGGCTCATGTAGCATACTGGATATTCTCATTTGCAGGCTTGTGCAACAACATTAAGTCTTCAAAATCGATATAATGCACCAACTTTACAAAATAAGTCAATGATCTCAATGCTGAGGGTATGTTCATAGGTCAGCAGGATGACAGTCTGAAAGGCTTCTTTATAACTTGGTGTTTTAAAATACTGTTCTTATTTCCTTAGTATTGTTTTCTAAAAACAATGATGTGAGACAAAAAGATAATTCTCATTTCAAGAACAAATGGCCAAGTCTAGGCCCAGAGCGGATCGACCGTTTGGAGGGAATGGGTCACCTATATCTTCTTTGAAGAAGCAAATTGCCAAGGTCAATGTATTTCTATCTAATTACTGACATGTTTACAGGACACTGCAATTTGACGACAATTCAAGAGAGAGAACTAGAAACAAACGTTAAAAAATATGAGGAAGTTTTTCAATCACATTTCATAATGAAAGGATGGCACCAAGTGTCCAGAAGAATAGGCATACCCTGTATGGCACCATACCCGCCATTGATGCAAATATGCCAGAAAATAAACATAACAATATAAATATAAGACAATGTATATATAAAGTTTAGTCAATCGAACGTAGATCACTGCCAGATACTTTCATGAACAAATATATTCACTAAATTGTTACCCAAAACTTAAATGTGGATGCTAATGCTAATGGCACACCAACGGTTTTCATTGTTGAATTTTGCCACAGACACGAGGAGACAAAAAATCTACTACAGTCGGCCGTTTTCAAAATGTCACGTTATGAATCATGCAATCGAAGTGATAATGAATTTTATTGGATGATGACGGTCTGTGGAGTCTTGTCTAATAGAAAACAATCGTCGACGAGAACACTGACAAATATCAAACTGGGTTGATCTTTAAAATCATCTTGTCTGGCCGTGTCGGCGAAAAAAACGTTGTGTGCCCTCGCCATACGAGGAATCACATTAGTAAAAATACATCCAAACGTATTATCTAAACTTAGTGGTCCGATTTCAAATTGCATTTCCTTTACATTATTTACCTCCCTTGAACTCGAAGCTTACAAGCATTACAGTCTTCGATATAAGTTCTTCGACACATGACCAGAAAGCTCTGAACCGTTTTGCAACTGAATTCTACTCAAAATGCACTCATTAAAGATAATGAAGGTTGTAGTGTAGCAGAGCGACACATGTGCAATAGAATGGTGGTGTTTGTGTGTGTTGTAAAAAATAGACTATTGGCTTTATTGACTTTATGAGTCAAATATTGAAATATTACAGATGAGAGCTGCATGGTTCATAGTCAGCTAGACGGGTAGCCTAATGAATAAACCTCATTATCACAAACAAGGTTGCTTTCTAGTGATAATGTCCATTCATATTCATCGTCATATTGATAACTGTATTTTGGTCACATACATAATTATTCACAGCCATATCTGTATGATGCAAATAGCAAGCACAGTGCCGCTACCTTAATATGAAATATTCTGAGTAGAGATAACCACTCGGAGTCAAACTAGAGTCCTACCCCGGGAAAAAGGCATATGTAAAAATCAGTTATTTTATTGTCATTGTGCTATGATCTTATTAGTTGACACTGGTAGCTGTGTTGCCTTTATGTGCCACAAGATCAACCTGGTCTACTTATATTTACAACGCAGTTGCATCTTTGTGACTTGATAAAAAATTTTAACGACCAAATCTTGCAACAATAACAGTAAAAACTGTATTAAGAGGCCACTCAAGGGAATAGTGGTCTCCTATTTATCCAATGACTAATTTTTCACGTGAGTTGTAAACTGTGACCAAATGTCTGGTTTTTTATTCTAAAAATATTGTTGTAGTAACTAATTAAAATCTTTTGTAATATTATTTGAGAATAATGCGAATAATGATATATGATTAAAAAGCGAATTATAATATATCAGAAAGAACGCGAATAATGATATATAAGTAAAAAGCGAATGGCATAATATAAGTAAGAAAGCGAATAATGATATATAAATAAGAAAGCGAATAATTATATATAAGTAAAAGCGGATGATAATATGTCAGTTAGAAAGCGAATAATGATATATAAATAAGAACAAGCATTATGATACATAAGTAAGAAAGCGAATAATGATATATAAGTAAAAAGTGAAAACATAATATATCAGAAAGAACGCGAATAATGATAAGTAAGTAAGAAAGCGAATAATGATACGTCAGTAAGAAAGAGAATAATGATATATATGTAAGACAGACAATAATGATATATATGTAAGACAGACAATAATGATACATAAGTAAGGAAGTTATCAGCATCTCGTCATTCTAAGTGTAAATGATCCTGACCTGTTCATTAGCTAGTGTTTAATATATCCCTACGTCACACTGAGATTAATTATATAGAGTTTATAAACCAGAAACTCGCCGTTGTTTCATATTCCAATAATTACAGTTGCTAATAGGAGACGAGCAATATATTCTGTACTATATCAATTGGAACAGGAATGGTATTGTTGATCA